CAACATGCACAAATCAACCAACATGATACATCACATTAATAGAGTGAAAGAAAAAATCATATGACCTCAATAGATGCAGAAAAAGCATTTGACAAAATTCAACATCTATTTATGATAAAAACTTGACAAATTAGGTATAGAAGGAATGGACCTCAACATAATAGAGGCCATATACGATAAGCCCACAGCTAACAACATACTCAATGGTAAAATGTTGAAAAATTTTCCTCTAAAATTAGGTACAAGACAAGGGTGCCCACTCTCACCATTCCTATTCAACACAGTACTGGAAATCCTTGTCAGAGCAATCAGGCAAGAAAAAGAAATAAGGGGCATCAGAATTGGAAAGGAAGAAGTAAAACTGTCTCTATTTGCAGATAATGTAATTTTATATATGGAAAATCCTAAAGACTCCACCAAAAAACTTTTCAATCTAATCCACAAATTCAGTAAAACTACAGGATACAAAATTAACATACAAAAATCAGTGGCATTTCTATACACTAAGTGAATAATCTGAAAACGAAATAAAGAAAATGATCCCATTTATAATAGCATAAAAATCAATAAAACACTTGGGAATAGACTTAACCGAGGAAGTGAAAGGTCTCTACTCTGAAAACTACAAGATACTGATGAAAGAAATCAAAAGCAAAAATAAATGGAAAGGTATCCCATGTTCATGGATTGGAAGAAGTAACATTGTTAAAATATCCATACTACCAAAAGCTGTCTATAGATTCAGTGCAATCTCTATCAAAGTCTAATGTCATTTTTTACAGAAGCGGAAAAAACAATCCTAAAATTTATATGGTACCACAAAAGACCCCAAATAGCCAAAGCAATCCTGAGAAAGAAGAACGAAGTTGGAGACATCACACTTCTGATTTCAAGCTGTACCATAAAGCCACAGTAAGTGAAACAGTATGGCACTGGCAGAAAAACAGACAAATAGATCAATTAAACAGAATCAAAAGCACAAAAATAAATCCAAGCATATATGATTGACTAATGTTTGACAAGAGAGCTAAGAATACTCAATGGAGAAAAGACAGTCTCTTCAGTAAACGGTGCTGGGAAAATTAGATATTCACAGGTAAAAAAAATGAAACTGGATCCCTATCTTACACCACTCACAAAAATTAACTCAAAATGTATTAAAGACTTAAACATAAGACCTGAAACCATGAAACTCCTAGAAAAAACCTTAGGAGAAAAGCCCCTTGACATGGATCTTGGTAATGATTTTTTTTGGATATGACACCTATAGCACAAGCAACAAAATCAAATTAAGCAAGTGGGACTACGTTAAAGTAAAAAGCTTCTGAATAGCAAAAGAAACAATCAAAAGAGTGAAAAGATAACCTACAGAATGGCAAAAAACTATTTGCAAACTGTCTGATAAGGGATTAATATCCAAAATATATAAAGAACTCATACAACTCAATAGCAAAAGTCCCAAATAATCCAATTAAAAAAATGAGCAAAGGGGTGGCCTGGTGGTGCAGTGGTTAAGTTCGCACATTCCGCTTTGGTGGCCTGGGGTTTGCGGGTTCGGATCCTGGGTGTGGACCTATGCACCACTCATCAAGCCATGCTGTGGCAGGTGTCCCACATATAAAGTACAGAAAGATGGGCACAAATGTTAGCTCAGGGCCTATCTTCCTCAGCAAAAAGGCGAGGATTGGTGGCAGATGTTAGCTCAGGGCTAATCTTCCTCAAAAAAAAAAAAAAATGGACAAAAGACCGAATAGACATTTCTCCAAAAGACATACATGAAAGACCAACAGGTACATGAAAAGATGTTTAGCATCACTAGTCATTAGAGAAATGCAAAACCACAATGAGGTATGACCTCACACCTGTTAGAATGGCTAGCATCAAAAAGACAAGAGATAACAACTGTTGGAAATGAAGTGGAGAAAAGGAAACACTTGCACCTTGTTGGGGGGAATGTAAACTGGTCCAGCCACTATGGAAAATAGTACAGAGGATCCTCAAAATATTAAAAATAGAACTACTGGGGCCGGCCCCGTGGCTGAGTGGTTAAGTTCTCATGCTTTGCTTCAGTGGCCCAGGGTTTCGACGGTTCGAATCCTGGGCACGGACATGGCACCGCTCATCAAGCCATGCTAAGGCAGCATCCCACATGCCACAACTGGAAGGACCCACAACTGAAAAAAAATACACAACTATGTACCAGGGGGCTTTGGGGAAAAAAAGTAAAAATAAAATCTTTAAAAAAAGATTCTCAAAAAATAGAAAAGAAAATAGAACTACTATGATCCAGCAATTCCACTTCTGGAAATATATCCAAAGGAAATAAAAACACTAACTCAGAATCTTATCTGCACCCCCATGTTCATCACAACATTATTTACAATAGCTAAGACACAGAAACAACCTAAATGTCCATCAATGGATAAATGGATAAAGAAGTTGTGATATACACAGACACACACAGAGGAATATTAGTCAGCCATAAAAAATGAGGAAATCCTGCCATTTCTCACATCGTGGATGAATCTTGAGGGCATTATGCTAAATGAGATAAGTCAGACAGAGAGAGATAAATACTGTATCATCTCACTTACATGTGGAATAAAAAAACAAACAAAAAACCAAACTTGTGGAAAAGGGGTTAGACTTGTGGTTACAAGAGGCAGGGGGTGATGGGAGGGGGAATAGGAGAAAAGGTGATCAGAAGGTACAAACTTCCAGCTACAAGATAAATACATACTAAGGATGTAATGTACAGCATGATGACTTAGTTAACACCGCTGTATGATATATTTGAAAATTAAGAGAATAAATCCTACAAGTTATCGTCGCAAGGAAAAAATAAATTTTTTTCCTTTTCTATTTTTGCTTTCTCTTTTTATTGTATCTGTATAAGACAATGGATGCTAACTAAGCTTATAGCAGTAATCATTTCACAATATATGTAAGTCAAACCATTATGCTCTACACCCTAAACTTATACAGCGATGTACGTCAATTATATCTTAATAAAACTGGGGGAACAAAAGAATAAATTAGGGCTAAAATCTCAGAGTAGTTTGGAGACTGACAATAGCTGTGTAAATGACAATAACGAGGAAGGGTGGTGAGTGCCATATCTATCTATCTATTGTCTATCTATGATCTATCTACCTATTATCTATCTACCTATATCTATGCAGAGAAAAGGACAAAAGTCTGGAGGTAGACATGAATAGATAGATAGCAACGAGGTCACCTACCTCCCCTCCAGATCCAGGGCACAAGGGACTTGGGAAAGAACACAGTCATCACTGAGAGGTGGTAAACAGCCATATCTCAGACCTGCCCAAAATACTTCTGTGGTTTCCCTCCAGACAAGACTTACAATTCCCCTCACTTAGTTGTCAAGGCCTTGTGCTGGCTGTCCTAGGTTCCTCTTCCAAATTCTCTCCCCACCACCCCATTCCATTGCACTGAATTTCATGCACTTCTTCACATTGCCCACCACTCTTTCATCTTTTAGCCTTCACAGATGCTGCTCTTTCTCCCCATTCCCGTCATTCCCTCTTGCCCTGGCTATATGCTCACTCCTATTTATTCTTAAAGTTTCAGTTTCTTCCTCAGTTTCTCATGTTTCTTCCAAGAAGCTTTCTGACTAGACTAAGCTAGCTGCCCCCAGTTTCCTCAATATGGTATTGATTCAACATATATTTGAGTGTCTTCTAAGTGCCAGTAACCAATGTTGCATTTTTATATAATCATTGTATTACTGCTACCTAATTAAAGACCTGGCACTTGTTAGGAACTCAGTACACAATATCCTTTCATTCAAAAATGTGTGTATAGGATGAATGATACAATTCCCTTATTGGTATTTTACGTGGTAGTCACTGGTTAACTGGCAATCAAAGCAATATTGCACATACACATTCCTTAAGGAAAAAGAAATTCTATTTTTCTGACTATAGAATAGTTTTACTACAAAGTAGTTTTAGTTTGCCTAAAACTTAAAAAAAGATTACCTTCTCCATCAACATGTCAATAATCTAAAATTTTACTGATGTCATAATACATAAAACCAAACATTAAACAAGATTTTAAACTGTCGGAGCTTTAAACTGAATGTATTAACGTTCCAAATGATTTGCACCTGGACAGAGCAAGCTAATCCATCAAAATTAATCTTTCCTGTTGCATCTGGAAAATTCCATTTCTAAAAGTACATACATTGACATCACACAAATTGGATGAGTGAAAAAAGATAACTATGTGCTTGTCTAATGCCCATCAAGAAAATGTGAAAATGCGTTTTACATTGTTTTATGATTTATTAGATTTGGAAAACCATTTTGATAACGTCAAGAAGCAAAACTGTTTCCATAGAGTCATGGATATGAACATCACCTGCTGAGGTCGTCTAAACCATCACATGGCCTCAAGGAATGGGTCCCCTAGTCCACCTCTAATGAAGGAACACTTGTCTTAAAGATCTTCCAAGCCCTATTTAAAATACACTACGGGACGTTACAAAAGGGACATCTGTGAAAACTTGATGATTTTTAAAGTTTGACTAGTATGTGTTTAAATTATATTATGCCTGAATAATAGACTTAAAGAATAGTGCTGGAGGTGAAAATTGAGCCTCATCTAATCCTACTCTGTCCGTTTCTGACTAAGGAAGATGAGGAACAGAAAGACCGAGTCATTTCTCCATCATAACCCAGCAAGCTGGGTGGGACTCTCCCAGACGACTTTCCTGATACCTTCCTATCTATGCTTGTTTATATTACTTATTTGGATGCTTACTACTTCTAGGCATCTATTGTCCTTTCATAGAACATAAGTTCTTAGAGAACTGGGACTTCAGATGTGTTTCTCTGCTGAATACAAAGGAGATAAAATAGCAGATAAATACGCAGCAGAAAAAAATAAATGACATTATTTCTGGCATTTACAGCTGTCACGGTGGAGACCCTAACAGATTCTCAGTCTCTGTTTCCTTCTTCTCCCACCTCCAGGGTTATTACATCTCTAAATCTATTTCCTAGACCTTTTCCTGAGTTTAGTGAGGAGGATTTTAAGGAGACCAAGTTCAGCACTCTGGGACTTGTGCTGATCATCTGTCTTTAGGCTGAGCCTCAGAATACAGTGTTTTGCTTCATTCTGAGAGCAAGACATCACCTGTCTCCCAGCTTGGAGACCAGATTCTCTCTTGATACACGGTAAGTATCCCAGTTCCTCTCACTGAGATCCTGAGGGAATCGCAAAAGTCTTCTTAGAACCCCCTCTGAATGACTGTATGAGGGTTCTGTGATGGATGGTGATGATTGTACGCCAACTCTAAAGACTGCCTCCTCCTGGATTCTTCAGAATCGTTCCGACAACACCCATTTTGGAGCTCTCTTTTGTAGACTGCCCTCCCAAGTGTCTTCAATCTCGATCTGACATCCTGGCTCTGGCTTACCTCCATCCTAGCCTGTACATCAAGTTCTGGACCCCAACTCTCTCACTCAACTCTATTCTTCCATTGTTAATAGAGTCACACCTCATTGCATTCTGAAACATGATTATCGCCTCAGGAACATACAAGTCAGACATTCAAGACACTAATTTAACTCTTAAAAAGTGGTTCCTTCCAATCAAATGTGCTATTACCAAGTAGTGACAGAACTATCTTTCTCCCTTTCCTAAGCTAATCAGTTTCTTTAAACAAAAAAATCTCTGTCTGTGCGTTATTATTTATAGCTTTCACCAAAAATAAAATATTTCCTGCTTGCTAAAGCAATAAAATGTGTAGCTATAGTAAGAACATAGATTTTATATCATTAGGAGATGACTATAAAAGCAAATGTCGTATACACTCACATAGAAGCTCACCTGCTGTCAACACTGCCAAGCCTTAATAGCATTGAACAGTCATAGCCACAGCAATAGTCTTCCTTGGCCTTAAGGTAGGTGCCAGAGTCTCTCATGGCATCTTGCCTCTGAGCTCTGGATCCAGTTTCTTTAACTCTATTTCCTAATGAACGACATGGTCCCTTTGCTCTCCAAAGTAGTCTTTTGTTGTGGTTTTAAGGTTTCTGCCAATGTCTTTGTCTAATTCTATTCTGTTTCTTTAAAACAAATGAGTGTACATATGTTCCTTGGCTATTATATTAATCTACTCTAAACTGCTGGATCTTTTTTCACACTATTAGAATTTATCTTTATGTATTAATACTTCCTTTCTATTACAAGCCAGATTACCTATTTACAACACCTGTAATAAGATTTCTCTTCTCTCTTTTCCTTTCCCTTTGGTGTCCATTCGTGGGAAATTGGCTTCTACTCCATGAATAATACTCCATCTTACCTCGTGTAAGAGGTAAGAGCCTCAAGCTCATAAATGTGCCACAAATTCTACATGCTTGAGGTTTCTTCCACCCTGCCCTGACTACCTCACACACCTGTTTTCTGTTGCCTGGCTTCTGGCTCTAGGACATTTGACTGCTGACTTCAGATAGTTATGCTCAGCTCTGGCCTTTGGCAACCTCAGAACCAGTTGTACCTTGACTCTTGCAATCCAAAAATGACTCTCCTCACCCTTGCTGGTCTGCCCCCATTTTCTAGGAAATCTACTCTGAGGATCTGGAATTCCCTTAATTACAAGACCCACAGAAGATAGAGGACATCACAAAAGAGATATCCAAATGTTTCCTAACGATGACAACTGCACTTATTTTCCATGTTTTTTAACTTTGTTCCTCCACACCTGATATGGTGACAGACAAAAACCTAACTACTTTCAATCTATATGAAGTAACATAGGTTAATTTAACAGACTGTTATGTTTTCTAAGCAATTACCATTTATGCGGACAATTGTTTGTAATAGAAATTGTGGAAGAATGTATGTGCATACACATATATACATATTTATTCACACACATAAAATATGTAGTTATACTTTTAACACAAATTTATAATTCCATATTTTTAATATAAAGTCTGATTCCTGAAGACTTATTTGCAAAATCACGACTCAATACAAATTAATAGAATAAATACCTATTCTCTTTCCCCTCGGTGTATTTTTCAAGTTGATTTATGTTTCCACTTCAGACCATGGAAGATAGTTCTTTAGATTGCAATTAGGGTGCATGTTATCTATAATTCTTTCCTATTTCCAATGTGTTCTTTGGTAGTAGATGTACAGAAGAATTAAATAGCATTTTAAGCCTAAAGTGTCATTTTTTTGTATTTCCATGGCAACTGACATCAACACAACAAAACCACTTTTTCCATGACAATTTTGTCTGCCTGTGTAAGTGGTTTAAAATAATATTTATCTTATCAATACATATTGTTTAAAAATATTGCTATAAACCTTTATAATAACTATATAATGTTTATTCAATACTTCAAAAATATTTGAGCTTTTCTTAAAATTCTCAGTGTTACTGACTGATACAGGGGAAACCAAATACAGTCACCCCTCGGAATCCATGTGGGATTGGTTCCAGGGACATTCTCCCTCCCTGCCACCCCAGTGCCAAAATCCCCGGATGCTTGTGTCTTAGCTCTCCATACCGCAAATCCCTGGGATGGCGGAATCCTCGGCTGTGGAACCTGAGGGTACAGGAGGGGTGCAGGCGATTGTACTTATAAATGTCTACTGTAGAAAACATGTATCATATGCTTGTAACTATTATTCTGATACCTTTATTCAAATATAATTAGCCCAATTTCTACATAATTCAAAAGTATAAAATTAGTTATGTTTATTCATCTTGAATCAAAAAACCTACTCACTCATTTTCCCTCCACAGAAAAGTTGATCTGTTTGTTGCATCAACTGATAATTTTTGCCAACATAAATTTTAGTCTTGTATCTGTAGTTATTAAGTCAAAATGCATCAAATTACAAATAAAATTTTAAATATATCTAATTGTGTGGTTTATATTTATCATCTGATTTTTCTTTTCTTTTTTTTTGGTTTGAGGAAGATTAGCCCTGAGCTAACATCTGCTGCCAATCCTCCTCTTTTTGCTGAGGAAGACTGGCCCTGAGCTAACATCTGTGCCCATCTTCCTCTACTTTATATGTGGGACGCCTACCACAGCATGGCGTGCCAACCAGTGCCACATCTGCACCTGAGATCCAAATTGGCAAACCCCAGGCCACCAAAGCAGAATGTGCACACTTAACCACTGTGCCACCGGGCTGGCCCATATCATCTGATTTTTCAACTACAGTAGAGCCACACAAATGAATAGTTATGGATCTGGCATATATATTTTTTTTTAAATTTCAAAAGTTTTCAATTTTATTGTAGCGGAATGCAGAAATGACTCATCTAAGAGTTTCATAGCCTTAGAGCTCTGAGGGTTTAAATGTAGTCATTGCTTTCTTAATAGTTTCAGTTTGAGGAACCCTAAAAAAAATTTAACTTTCTACATTACAGTAGTTCCCCCTTATTTGGGGGATAGGTTCCAAGACTCCCAGTGGAGGCCTGAAACTGCAGATAGTACCGAAACTTACATTTACTATGTTTTTTCCTATACATACCCACCTATGGGAAAGTTTAATTTATAATTTAGGCACAGTAAAAGATTAATAATAACTAATAATAAAACACAACAATTACAACAAGATACTATGATAAAAGTTACCATAGATCTTAGCAACCTCAGCATATGGTTTTTTCTTTCCTTATTAAGTAGAGAACTTTCACCGTTTCACTTAAAGGAAGCACTTTATGGCTTCTCTTTGGCATATCTTAATTGCCAGCATCGCTGCTATTGAGCTTTGGGGCCACTATTAAATAAAATAAGGGTGACTTGAACACAAGGACTGCCTGTCGTCATGATGGTTGGATAACTGAGATGGCTACTAAGTGACTAATGGGCAGGTAGTATCTGGATACATTGGACAAGGGGATGATTCATGTCCCGGGCGGGATGGAGTGGGATGGCGTGAGATTTCATCATGCTACTCTGAACAGCACATAATTTAAAACTTATGAGTTGTTTATTTCTGGAATTTTCCGTTTAATATTTTCAGATTGCAGGTAAGTGAAACCATGGAGAATTAAACCACAAATAAGGAGGGACTACTGTAGTCAGGTAGCCAAATTATCCTGTAATAAATGACGTGTCTGACAAATCTTCAAAAAAGACAGAATTTCAAATATTACTGGTGAAAACTAGTAATATGATTCTTATTTTAGAAAGTTAGAAAACATAGAAATCTAAAAATATAAGTCCACCTGACATTTTTCTTCTCAACATAATTTTAATAACTTAAAAAGTCACTCTTTCCCATTATCATATATTGCATATAAAAAAAATTTGAGAAAGAATTTTACTTCCTTAAACAAAATAAAATGTCCCTTGTTTTATCTTCTTGGGACAGCATTTGAAATATTTTACTATTGAACTCAATTCTTATTTTTGCATGAAGAGTACATTCTAATTAGAGCAAAAAAAATATTGTCCCTGAGTGTTCCCTTTGATGTGGCTCACCAGGAAGTTGAAACACCAATCATTTATCAAGATGTTTAGTAATCCAACATGGAAGCCAAGATTCTAAATAAAACTTTCTCTTTAAATTTTCATTTGCAGGGAAAAATAGTTCTATGCACATAAGTATTGTCCTCATTGTGTAAAGAATATGATAATGTATAAAAACAGGATATGTTTTTAACATATATTTCAGTGCTTGAGCTGGTATCTTAGCTCTTCTCCCATCTGTGACTATGGTCATGTCATTTACTTAAATCTCAAATTTCTATAATTACTGTAATTACGATACCTAATTTCAGGGTTATAGTAAGACTTACATGAGATAATAATATAATTATATTAATATTTATATTAATAAATCACTATAATAGCCAACATTTAAACTTTATAATAAAGATTAGATAAAATATAACATTATATGTTAAATACTGGAACATTCAATTAAGCATTGTTATATACTGTGAGATTGAATTAAATGCTGAACATTCAACCCGAGACCTAGTTAGATAAATTATGCATAAATTTTCATATTTAAACATAGAGTGTTTCTTTACTTCCCTCAAAGGTTTCATTAAATCCACTACGCACATTTTAATGATTGAATGTATGGAATCCCGCTCATTCTTCTTCATTTTATAGGTGAGGAAAGTGTCTCCCAGAGTGGTGAAATGATTAGCCGAGATCACACCAGTGAATGCACAAACCAGAGGTTACTTCCTGATCAGACTCCTTTCCTTTATCTTGCCCACTACACCAAACATTGTGTCAAAACTTCAGAAGCTAGGTTGAAATTACATTTTTCACCTGCCTCTTCTAACATTACTCAGTCATAGTCAGAGATCAGAAAGATATTACTTTCTAAAAAGTCTCCAGCTTCTCTGTTTTCACTAATCACGGTTTTTAAGATCCCTCGGCATTATGATGTCTTCGCGGAATCTGCTGTAAAGTAGAGCACCCCATGGTGCATGTCCACAGAGTTGATCCCTCTGCTCTCCCAGTGACCAAAGGCCCGGATGCATCCATCTGTCAGCCTCAGACCCAATCCTGCAGCAAATATCCTGTACCCACCCTCTCATGGATCTATATGAGAAGTTCCCTGGGCTACAGACCAGGAACAGGGTGAACATTAATTAAAAGACATACACACAAAACGAAGGACACAGTGTGTGAAAACACATTTGAACAAAAAGATACACAAAATCTCATTGAAATGGCTGCACGTGGAAGAAGGGCATGGGACTGAGATGTGAATATAAAAGGGAATATATAAATAAAGAGAATGGATTGGCACGGAAGAATGAATGCGCCCAGGAATAAGTGAGATTAACTCAACTCTCAGCACCAGAGCACCGAAGAGAGAAAAAGAAAGAAAACAAAAGAAGAAAGATATTTTTCTTTACTGAGTTTTCTATTGGCTTTTTTCCCCTAATATAATGAGGTCTATGTCTCTTCCATCATTTTTCAGAGCATAAATGAGTGGACAACAACAGAGCTGGATGAAGAGAGGGAATAAAATATCAGATACTGTTAAATACACATATAAAAAGGCTAAAGGGCGGTGGTCTAATAAATGCTGCTAGAGTTAAGAGGAAAAGCTAACAAACGATCACGGGCTAAACCTTTCCACATAACCTGTCCCTGAAACATCTTGATTTTACTCAGCCCCTATCTGAGGCTACATTTTCAACTCACACTCAATGCATAAAAGTTTTAGCTGAGAATACAGCACACACGTTGGGTTTGGTTTGTCATCAAATTCTGAGGCGGAGCAGAAGTGCTAGACAAGGGAGGCGGTTGGTGAAGTGAAGAGAAAGCAAAGACGTGGTAAATGACTGCAGGAAATGATAACCTTCCAATTAGCCACGGAAGTGGGAATGAAATTATTACAATGATTTAGATTAGAAATATAGAGAGACCAGGTTGCTGGACTTCTGTTTACGTTGTTGTTGTGTCCCTGATGTCTTCATCATGGAGACGTCTGAGACAGCTCTACTGAATGCTGGCACTGTTAGAGGCACAGACTGCGCCGGTCCTTGCCCATAAACTCCAGTTGGGGTGTCAGACAATAAATAATTAAAACAAACACATAATTACAAATAGCCATTAAGCCTTGGAAGGAAAAGAAACATGGCAAATTGTTTCTGGACATCCTCTGAATACCACAGTCTTGACATTTATTTTGTTATGTTTAACTTCGTATATTTATTTTTGAATATCCCCTGCTCCACTAAAAATCTCTTCTTGGGAGTAACTCAAGTATATTCTAACATCTAACATAGAAGTTAGGAAGCAATAAATATTAAATGAACTGGGCTGGTTTTTACAGTTCAGTTTGAATCCTGGGTCTGTGGTCACGGCTGTGTCCCCATGTGAACCAGCAGCTGGCCTCTTTCTTTGTTATTTCTTTTTAATGTTACCTGAAACACTTACCACATCTTTTTCATAGATAAATGTGAATTTCAGTCTACCACTATTCTCACAATCTTAAAATTACCAGGGTGTAAACTAATGAAATTTTAAGAAAATATATTTAGGGCTAGGAAAGGATTTCTGAGTCCTTCTAAATAAAGACTTGCTTAAAAATCAGCAGTTAATTTAGATAATTAATGTTCTGTAGGTTTAACCAAAGTGTCTCTCACATTCATCATTGCTGATGACATCAGACTTGAAAAGATTCACCTTTGTGACACCAGAGGCATTAACATGTGAGGCCAGAATTAGCTAAGCTGTAATAATAAAGTGATAATTGCAAAGTGTAAAGCCACACCGACAATGCATTTAGCAAAACACTAACACTTTTGGTGTGAACTTACAGTGTTCACTAGTATCTTACTCTTTCCATTTGCTTAAGTGATTTTTCACCTTTTGAATTTCAAAACTAGAAGACGTTATATTAATTAATTTTGCATTGTACCATACTAACAGGTACCAATTACAATGGAATACGAGCCTCTTTTTGGCAGCGTCATTTTGTTTATCCTCTACCTATACTGTTATCACAAATATATGTGTTCAATGGAGACCGAAGCTATGAATCTGAGACTCAATGGTGGCAGCCTTTTCTTATTAGATCAGTGGTTCTGACCTTTGGCAAGGCATTAGAATCATTTAGGAGCTTTAAAAAAATGCTAATGGACAGGGCCCACCCATAACAATGGACTCAGATTCTGGAGGTGAGACTTGAATATTAGTATTTTTTTAAATCTTCCAAAGTGTTTCTATTGTGTAGCCAGGTTACAAAATCGTTGCATTAGGCTTTACCCCTCATGGTGGAAATATATTTTATGTATGTCTTTAATCTTGTACCTCGAGTTCTACTGAGGACCTAGATCAATAAATGTCAGCTCAATGAAGAAATCGATGAATTACTTAAAGCAAGAATGTCATCTTAAAGTTAGGCAATTCTTCCTCCCTTGACTATCGAGCCTTTACTTTTTAGTTACTATACGGTAACTCTCATCCTCTG